TTCAATGTTAAAATCATATATATATATATATATATATATATATATATAATAATATATATATATATATATATATATATATATATATATATATATATATATATATATATATATATATATAAACAAAGAGGAAGGTAGTTGTGTCTAATTGATGGTATCTGAATACATATCAAAATCTATTTGTAGGATATTACGAAATAATAGCATGTGAGAAACAATGATACATGTTAGTTATTAAACAGGAAAAACAGGTTCTAAACTCCCGTCTATGCTTGGAATTTAATTTCAATTTTCATATTTTTGTTATTAAAACATTTTCAATCATAAAAAGTGATTTGATCCACAATAAGCATTTTGAGACTATTTTTTTCCCATTAAAAATTATATCAGTACAGTCAGCAAATTCTTTAAGCATTTTGCATTATTATTTGGCTTCGAATATTATACACAAAATGTCCAATTAGCAAATGTAAGGTTTTGGAGACTAAAGGTTTTGCATTTGCTTACCGAAAGGTTCTTTTCCTGCTAACTTAAAATTGAATAATAATGCATTGCTTAAATAATTTGTTAAACATGCTATTATTAATATGATTATTAATGAAATTATTAAGGTGCCGTTTGTTTTTTTGAAGTAAAATTCACAAAGTTTGTGGATCACCTCTGCAACCCTCTGCACTAGAAGAGGTGGACTAAACGGCTGCAGACTGTAATTAGAAAGCGTGTTTGTTTTTTTAACATCTGCATACTACTGCAGATATTAAAAAATTAGAATAAACTAATTTTATAATCCAAAAATTGTTTTTTAGTACTGAAAATTTAATAATTTATAACATTTCAATAAGAATTTATGATATTTCAGCAAAAATAATAATATTTTAACAAAAAATAATGATATTTTAACAAAAAATAATGATATTTTAGTATAAAATAATGATATTTCATCAACAAAGTATTATTATTCAATATAAAAAAAAAGAAAAAAAAAATCAACAAGAATAAAAAAATGTGAAATAAGATTTCAGAAATATATAATCAATATTTTATCAATAAAAAAAGAAGATGTTGGAAGAAGTAAGAAGAGGCAAAACAAGTGTTGCGCCAAGAAGAACATACGCAGAGGTTTTTTAAAATAAAGACTTCTGAAGAAGAAACATTAAACTAAAACAAAAACATTGAAATTCAGCTTTAATTTGTATACTCTCTAGTAAACATTAAACTAAAACAAAATCATTGAAATTCAGCTTTAATTTGTTGCACACTACTCAGGAATATATAAAGATACGTGAATCGAATTCTTCTTGACCTACTTGAGTCGTATATATGTTTCAAAACTTTTTGATCAAACTTTAATCAACAATTTTCATTGATATATTCAAACTTTCTAATTGAACTTGTTTTATGAAGTACAATATTAATAGACATTTCGTAACCCATCTTTTTTCAAGCTTACACAAGAATTTTCATTTAGCAATCTAATCGAGTTTGATTTTAGCTTACGACCAGCAAACTTGAGCTCGAGCTTGAATTTAACAATGACGGGTTCTTGAACGTGTTAAGATACACAAAGCTCTCGAACATCAAAAAACTCGATCATTTTCTTTCGTTCTTGGAATAAAATCTCAGAACGACATAGAACAACAGACGATACAAAACTCCCCAAGCCAACAAAATCCCAATATCATACCACACGTTCTCCAGTTTTATATCCATCGATTTCAACACATCTTCTCCAATCAACAAACAATCAAGCCCTTGCTTTGTGGGGTCGTTCTTATGAGCCTGGCTTATCTTCACTTCACCAAGAGGACCCGGCGATAACTCGGAGAAGTTTCCGGTGTAACATCGGTTGCCTTTAAACTCGTTCACCAACAACGCCTCAAAAGGGTACTTGATCGCAGATATATAGTGCAGCCAGATCCAGTAAGGGGGGATGTGAGAGGCCTTCAAGAAGAACCCACAAGTCAAGAAAAACAAAGCGGTGGTGGCTATGACCACCGCATAGCCGGTGATGTAACTCGGAACTAGGGCACTCACGAGCATCACGTAAGCGTTTGTGGTGATGAGTGATGAGTAAAGAATAACCCAAAAGTGGAACAAGTTACTGTTTAGCCGGAGGATGAACTGGGTGATGGCGGCGAAGGTGAACCCTTGGATTGCGAAAAACGGGAGGTAAACGATGAGGGAAGAGATGACATACGAGGATGCACGATAAGCGTTGTGGGAAGTCTCACGGATGAATATGAATCGTTCTTGGATGAAAGTTGGGACTGCGTCGTTTGATGAAAAGAAAACCAGACAAACCGCAAAGATGTAGAAGTTGAGAAGACGATTGATTGTTTTGAAGTCATAATGGCTTAGGTTTTCAAAAAGCGAAGCTAAGATGAGACCCATAACAGTTAGAACGATCTCACGTGAAAGAAATAGTTCAGGGGTACGAATGACATTTAGCGCGGTTCGCCATGAGAGAACCATGACTTCACGTAACCACGGGTTTGCAAATTTGGACCCGAGGTCCGGTTCATCAAGGACCTCCGGTTCTAACACGTTTTCATATGATACGTAAGAATCGGAAGATGGGCTGAAAATCGGTGTAGCCTTGTTGGGGAGGCGGCGGTTTAGGCTCGAAGATACTGATGTCATCTGGCTGTGGCTATGGCCAGGGGTAGGTGTACCCCTAGCTGGGGTCCATGATGGTGCACGGTGTGGAGTACCTTTTACACCGTGATACAACCAGACTGAAAAATCTTTGTAGAATTGTGAAGCTAAACGTGGATGATACGCTCCGCCTACCATGCTCATCGGTGTATGTGCGACTTTACGTTCTCGGGAATTGTCAAACTCATCGTCGGACTCGTTTTCATGATAGTCAAATGTGGTGGAATTACCACGAGGGGTAGTATTGCCACTCGGAATATTCATGCTACGTAGTGGGATGTGTTTTTGGTTTTGTGGGGTTTTCCCATATGGTGTTCGAGGTGTTCTTGGTGTTTTTGGGACCGGAGTTTGGGCCACTTGATCGGGCTTGAGCCCGTCTCGTTGGTAGAACACGAGCGGGTCGAGCCCGATAGTGGACTCATCATACTCCTTGATCACATCCAAAAGATACTCAATATTGTTCTCGTTTTCCGGAACAGGTCGCTCGAATCCCTCAAGATGTGCGGATAGACCATTCGGGCTCCCTAAATATATCAACTTCCCTCTGAAATAATAAAGATTTATTAAATTTCAAATGAAATGAACTCAATTTTATGAATCAAGTTGAAGACTATTTACCTTGCGAGAACCGTGATTCGGTCAAGAAGCATTTGGATCCTAAACGAAGGCTGATGGATTGTCATAAGAACAATACTGCCACTACGGGCGATATCTTTCACTTTTTCAACAACACTAAATGCGCTAGTTGAATCGAGACCGGATGTCGGTTCATCTAAAAACAAAAGTGACGGTTTGTGAATTATGTCAACTCCGATTGAAACCCGCCGCCTCTCGCCACCGGAAACACCTCTCCTCCCTTCATTACCGATATATGTATGGGCAGTGCTCTGCATTCATCAAAATCGTAATTTTTTTTCAAAAGACAAACAAATTTTTGTTTTGGGCCAAATTGGTATAAAGATTAAAGATTCATACGGTTAAGCCCAATTGGTCGAGAAGCTCAACCACTCTGTTTTTCTTTTCGGCCCGTGATAAAGAAGGTGGAAGACGAACTTCTGCTGCAAACATGAGCGTCTCGAAAACCGTCAACATAGCAAAGAGTTGATCGTCTTGCATAACATATGATGATATCATTTTCATGTAGCTCGCAGTTACCTGAACCAAATTAAACATCAGAGTAGACTCCAACATATATATATATTTTGTGCATCTGTGTCTAGCTAACGCGGGACACTGGCAAATTAAACCATGATGTTTAAAGGTACTTACCGGCTTGCCATCAATATGGACGGACCCTTCGAGACTACCTTGAGCAATCCGGCCAGCCAACGCATCCAAAAACGTCGATTTTCCTGCTCCACTAGGGCCCATGATGGCCATAATTTCACCTCGCATGGCTTGACCAGATAAATCATTCAAAAGGTAAGCTTCTTTAGTGACCCACACCCCATCTTTTTTCTGTTTCTTCATCACACTATACGAAAGGTTACTGAACTCCAACCCATGACCCGCCTCCATTTTCCGGGTCGGAAGCTTGCCCATCATCTTCTTGGTTTTGTTCGATGATTTGTCCAGATCCAGCAATGTCTCAAGACTCCTGTTAGTATCTGTCCTAGCAAACCTTCCCGCCATTGAAATGGACTTGTAAAGACACAGTCTAGTTTGAGTTCTTTAAAGCTCTGAGGATATCCAGCTATAGCGGATGATAGTTTTATAAGTCAGAAGAGAATGTATGGTGGAGATTAAGACAAAGCAGATTTGGAGGGTTTCTATCGGCGGACGGCAAAGCCCAAGATTACACTTCTTGATGGTGTCGCAAACAGATTGCTGGATTTTGTTTCTTTATTATCATACATACTCATACGTCATTATTATTTCTCGATTTTACATAAACACAGTAAATTAATGTTGACTTTCATTACTCAGATTTTGACTCCAAGATTCAAATTCTATTATATGTATTATTATAATCTAACAACTAACATTATAACTTTACTCCCCAAAATTCAAAATATTTACATGCCAACAACATTCAAGAATCGGAAGAATCAAACGGGTTGAATTTGCTTCAATTTCCGAACAACTTGTCTCATTGTAGGTCTCCCTGTGACTGAATCTCCGGTGCAAACCAAACCCAAATGAAGCAACTCAAGAAGAACATCCTCCGGGCCCGCTTCCCACAATCCGGCGGTGAAAACCTCCTCCGGCCGCCCCTCTCGCCGGAGCATCCACGCCCACGAGACAATCGTGTAACCGTTCTCCTGACTCGAAAAAGACGAATCCAAAGCTCTCTTATCAGAAATCAACTCAAGCAACATCACTCCATAGCTGTACACGTCAGCTTTTTCCGATGCCCGACACGTCAGCGCGTATTCCGGCGCCACGTAACCGAAAGTCCCGGCCACTCCCGTGGTGACATGTGTCTCAAAATCATCTAACAAACGGGCCAACCCGAAATCCGATAAATACGCGTTGAACTCTTCGTCTAATAAGATGTTACTCGGCTTAACATCACGGTGTAGGATTCGCGGTTTACATTGATCGTGAAGAAAGGAAAGCGCGTTTCCGATTCCGAGGGCGATTTTGTGAATTACATTCCATCCAAGGGCGTGGACCGGTCTTTCCCGGATGAATTTTTCTAGGTTTCCTCCAGGGAGATAATTGTAAATTAGGAACATTTCGGATGGGCTTGCGTAATATCCGATTAAAGTCACGAGATTTGGGTGTCGGATTCTTCCGAGACTTCGGATTTCAGCATTGAATTGTGGGACCCCTTGACACATTTCAACTGTGAGTCTTTTTACAGCCACGATGGTTCCCGGAGATATTTCGGCCCGATAAGTCGACCCGAAACCACCCGACCCGATACAGTTTCTTGAAGTGAAGTTTCCGGTTGCTTGAACGACTTTGTCTAAGGTCAATTGTACCCCTATCTCTTTGAAAACGACAACTGGTTGTTGACAATGGTGAGGAGAACGTGGAGGAGGAGGAGGAGGAGGAGGAGATCGGGGTGGTGGGAGTGAGATTCCGGAGATCTCTGAGGTGGGTTTTTTTTTTCTCTGGTAAAGATATATGAGAATGAGAGCAACGAGAATGATGATGATTACAGATGGAACTATAATCAAAATTAGCTCAAAATACTTTGAACCCTTTTTCCGTTGATTTGAATCTGATGAAACTGTACTGTTTAGGGACTCGAAACCCAATGCCAATGGTTCTTGTGATGGGACTGATGACAAACTAATGAGCTGGCAACGATGGAGTAATGGGTTTCCAATGAAATTTTTACAGTTTATGGAATTTCGATCCATTGTTATTGATCCAGATAAGTTATTGAATGAAAAATTGAACTTAATTTTCAAAAAACCCGAAGGAATTTCGCCGGATAACTTGTTGTTGTTGAGAAGAAGAGCTGTTAAATTTCTAAGATTAACAAGACTTTTAGGGATTTCACCTGCGATTTGATTCTTTGATGCATCCAAGAACTTCAAACATTCCCAATTTACGCCGACATTGGATGGAATTCTATCGGATATGACGTTGTTGCTCACATTTATGAAAAGCCTATTTAGATTATGACAGTTTTTAAACGGATTTTCACGAAATAAACCACTCGAGAGCTTGTTTCCACCTGCTAGAAATGCATAATCGATCTTCTTCCCTGTTCTTGATATCATAGGAAGCAATGGGATTGGACCTGTGAAATTATTGTCACTGAAATCATGGATCGTGGCAGGGGTAAATCGGGAAAAAGGAAGACGGGTTTCTACTCGAGTTTTATGAGTGAGGTGGGAGAGATATTTAGCGACAGGATCAGAGTGTCGCGAAATGTTTAGATGACAAGGGTTGATGAAATCAGGAATGGATCCAAACATGAGATTTCTGCTAACATCAAACACTCGCATACAACGAACATGAAGCTTTTCATCAAGAACTCCACTGATTCTGTTTCTGGAAACATCTAAAACTTCAAGCATTTGAAGGTTTGAAAGTTCGAAAGGAAGAACACCAGAAAATCCATTTGAAAAGAGGAACATTGCTCTCAAATTGCTGCAATTTCCAAAACTTTTAGGGATTTTACCTGTCAAGAAGTTACTGGAAAAATCAACATGCTCAAGAACACGACAATTATTCCAGAATTCATGCGGTAATGATCCGATAAATTGATTTGATGACAGATTAATCCCTTTTAACTTCACAAAGTTACCAAGAAAATCAGGGACATACCCTTCGATTTGGTTTCCAGCAAGACTTAAGAAGCTTAAAGCTTCACATTCTGAGAGAGAATTAGGGATTTCTCCAAATAATTTATTGAACCCTAGATTAAAAACTTGCAAATTCTTCAAATTCTTGAAGTTGATTGTAGATAAATTTGCAGTAATCGAATTCCCTTCGATGTCAATCACTTCAAGTTTCGTTAAACCCCAGACCCCATTGGGTAATTCACCCCTAAATTCATTAAATGGAAACGATAGAACCCGAAGCTCTGAAAATTTCCCAATTACATTCGACAGTTTCCCCCCTAAAAATCTCCCTTTCTTTAACGAAGAACAATCCCTCACAATCCCAGAACCATGCAATGCAAGATCAGAATATTTACTACTCAAACAAGAACCAGAATGAACAAAATTACCTCCTGGTATCCTCAACTCAGAAATCCTACCATGTGAATTGCACGTGATTCCAAACCAAGAACAGTGATTTGGGTTTGAAGATTTCCAGGTTGAGAGCATGTTATGATGGTCAACAATGGCGTTCTTCAACTCCAGAAGTTGACTTATCTCTGAAAATTCCGCAGCTTTTCCAGAAATCAAACAGCACAGTGACAGCAAGATGAGAACCAATACTCCCATTGCAGCCACACCCACCATTTTTTTCCTTGAATTCGAAAAAGGATGAAAGAAAAACAAAAACCCAGAAGCGAAAATAGAAAGTTTTCTTGATTTGGGAACTAGAAACTATCGTAAGTTGATAAAGGTCTCTTTTTAGGGAAATTGTGGAGAAACATTCATGGGTTTCATAGTTTAATTTCCAATCTTGTTAATTGTCATGAATCTGTTGGTGTTCTCATTACTTTCATCGCGTTGTGGGGTCGTGTATTGGGACCCACTGTGGTGGTGGGTAGTCAAGAGTCAACAATTTACCGATTAGCTCGTCAACATGGCGGCCTAGTGTGTGAAACGTGAAATATACGATTCAGTGGATGAGCCGATGAAAGAAGACTGGCGACGTGTTGCCACCGTTTACAGGTCAGCAGTCCATGTGGGGTGTGACGTACGCAGTGCTCGAACCACCAGATTTCTTTTGACTTGTAATCATAGTATTCCATTTTTGTTGTCTTATTTTCTATTTTTTATTTCTTTTTACTAAAGTTATCTTTTTTTTAGTATTTTTCAGAAATTTTTATAAACATTAACCATTGTGATTTCTAACTTTAATTGTTTTCAATCATTGTGACCAGTTAGCCTAAGACTAACCGGTAACACAACTTTTGTACGACATTAAAACCATTATTTACCATCTTCTTCTTCAAGATCTGTTGAACTGCCGAACACCACCACCTTGTTGTCTTTGGTACTGTGTTTTTCGGTTCACTCCCACCTCCGAGATCACCGGCTGCCACGAACCACCATTAACCGAAACCCAGCTCACCTCCTCCATTTTGTTTTACCAAGAACCAAATAAAAGAAAGAAAGATATTTGTTTTCCTTGTGGTTTCAGATGAAGAAGAAAGAAAAGAATAAAAAAAATCACAGAACTTGAGACCACCATTATCACAACTTAACTTTCTTCATTCGCCACTGTATGTTGCTTTGCGTAAAAAATAAAAACTTTTGATGAGGGTTTTTACAATATATTTCATATAAATGGTGATAGATTACAAGTTAATAAGTTTTTGTTTGATAAAGTTAATAGAAATTTTAAAACAAAAAAGTTATGCATGAAATCGATGACTACGAATGCTCTAAGTTGAGCAAGTGCACAACTATAAATCCAAACCTAATAAAATACCTTATGGATACTATATGATTCATAATAAAAATTTGATGACATAGTAAATTATCAATATTGTTTTTTTTGTTTTATAAAACAATATGGTAGTATCTAATAGAGTATAGAATGGAATATAACTAATAGTCTAATGTATAACTCAGTTTGTTTGGCTAATGTCTTGTTATTTTATGTATAGCTTGGTAGTACCATATAATGTTTATATATTCTTATTAATGAGAGAGATCATATTCATGGGCTAATATCTTACATAGTATTGGATTAATTCTTTACTCCTCTTGATGTTTTAATCTCTCTCATTCTCTTTCCTTCTTAAAATCGATATTTTGAAACAGAATCCTACTTGTTGACAATCATGACCGGCACATCTTTCTTCTCCAATCAATTTACACAAAAGTCTTAGGGTATCACAAACATTAGAGAATTCATTCCTTTAATTATCGACCTTGACCATCGGAATTGCAATGCATTGCGTAAACTCTTTAGAAGTATTGCATTGGTTTCATTGTTGTTAATCAACTTAAAGAAAGCACTTAAAAAACTCATTTAATCATGTTAATCCTGATGATCCTTAGTGAAATTAGACTTGAAAATGAAATGTTAATCATCTCTTTTGACAGCTCTGAAGGGTTTTGAGCATAACAAACAATCATATGTGTGCATGCAACCCTAAATTTAATCTACGTTTTCTCTAATTGAACATACAATGTGAACAACAATGTAGAAACCCTAGAACACTAGTATATAATCAAAAATACATAATTAGGGTTATAAAACATACATTTGATTGTTATATAGCAATAACAATCCAAATCCTTAGTATTGTTGAGACTTTGAGAACAAGCGTCACAATTATCACGCCTCTAATGACTCACACCCAATGCTAGCAATAGAAGAACTGTAACACCCATAAAATTCAAGCCAATTTAAAACTTTTTAATATATTTAAGAACTGTTAAGTAATTATAGTTTGGTTTCAAAATTGTTTAAACATTAGAGTGACCCCAGAATCAAATCATAAAACCCATGAAAATGAGGAGTTGTACGATCACGCATTTGCCTTCCTGCGGTCATCTACTGTACCTGAAACAATAATCAATAAATGTAAGCTCGAAGGCTTAGTGAGTTACCCCCAAAATACCGATACACATACAATCCAATAACGCATGAACAAATAACATATCATAACAACTTAACAACACGCAATGGGTCTACAACTTTACAAGCTGGATTACCTCCTGGGCCCTCAGTACGAGTCTGGAATGCCTATCGGGCCCTTAGCTCGTATCTGGAATGCCATCGAGCCCTCAGTACGAGTCTGGAATGCCTACCGGGCCCTCAGCTCGTATCTGGAATGCTCCCGAGTCCTCAGTATGAGTCTGGAATGCCTACCGGGCCCTCAACTCATATCTGGAATACTCTAGGGTTTGTTGGCTACCGCACAGAGCAGTACAACCTCAACCCATCCCATATAAAATGTCGACATGTAATAGATAAATACACATACGGGAAATCAGACAATATCACAGGTAGTCCTACAGACCTACCAAACTAGTATATCAACTAGCATACATCACTAGCATGCAATACTAACTCATGATCAACATCTAACACTGCTAGGATAATACATCCAATGGGTCGGCCTTGGTGCCTTAGACCCCTTAGTATAGTGAGGATAACTCACTTCGAAACTTCTGAATGAAGAGATAAGATCACGCTACTCCAACCTCCTACACGAACTCCACCACTGATCAATACCAAATGACTGAACTTAATAAATACCAATAATTACCAAAATACCCTTGGAAGTCAATTGGTCAACTTTTGGTCAAAGTCAAAGTCCTCAGTCAAAGTCAAAGTCCTCAGTCAAAGTCAACTTCCTGACTGACTCTACTCGTCGAGTCAGCCCGCTAACTCGTCGAGTCCCTAGGCTTTGAAAACTCTCATATCGCGACCCAACTCGCCGAGTCCCACGAACTTTGAGTCCCTTCATGCTCAACTCACCAGTCATCCTTCAACTCACCGATTCACGACTTAACCAGAAAAGGTTAGGATTCCTCGACCAGACCCGCCGAGTCCAAGAACAGACTCGCCGAGTCCAAGGCAACATTCAACAGACTCGCCGAGTTTTTCTTCCAACTCGTCGAGTTCCTGCCTATCTTCATCCAACTCGCCGAGTGCACCCATGTGACTCGTCGAGTGTCTCCAGCTCTTAACCCATACAGTGGTTTTCCAAGCCATGCAGAGGCTCCAATCCATATATCTACCCTTCTACAAGCTATTCCTCATGTAAAGTTGCAAACTTTACGTGATATCAAGAAGATATAAACTCAAAACACACTAGGGCTTGGGTTTTAGACAAAAAGGGCTTCACCAATCATCCAAGGACTAAAACTTTATGAACTTAGGACTCAAAAAAGGTTCAGATCTGAAGTTTCAACTTCAGATCTAGCTTCTATAACAATTCCCTTAACCAAGGAAAACCCTAGCCTCCACATATGAATGATTCTAGAAGAAAGGTCAAGGTAACAACTTAATACTTCACAAATGTGTCCCAAACTGGAGTGGTTTCTGGATCCACACAAAATCCTTGATGGTTGCCTCTTGCTCTTCAAGTCTCCTTCACCAAATTCACTTCTAAAAGCTCCAAACACTCTCCAAGCTCTCACTCACAGCTATTAGGGTTTCTGGGACTCAAAGGGAATGTAAAGAGGCTGAAGAGAGGGTGTTATGTTCTTTATATATAGCACAAACTCTGGATTAGGGTTTTTCTCATTCCAGCACCAACTCGCCGAGTTGGTCACTTAATGTGTGACCAGAATCACGACTCGACTCGCCAAGTCTATCCTGTTGGGTTATGAGCATTCTAACACTCCTAAGTGTACATGCAACCCTAAATACCTTGGATCTATGTTTTCTCTATTATACATGCAAATATGAACATCCAAGGTATTATCCTAATCTAGCATACAAAATAATGGATATAACAAGATAGAATACATACCTCTTTGATAGTGCTTGTCTTCATGAAGCTTGAGTGCCTAGTGCCCCAAGTGTGACACCTCAAATGGTTCACACAACACCATAAGCACTTGGAATAACTTAGAGAGAAATTAGAACACTTCATGAAATCGTCTAGCCCTCATACACATACATAGTGTATCGATTTCTTGAGCCATGGGTTTCTTTTATATGGTGGCTATTAGGGTTACACCATGTAACTCATGACTTTACCCATTCCTTATGCTCCATGGATTTTAACCTCCATGGAGTATCCATGGGTCACCCCATGGACTTAGTCCAACATAAGGAATCTTGGATCACAAGCCCACTAATATAAGAATGAATGATTTACACAATCAACCCATATATTTAATTAGTCTCCTTTTGATCACTTAATTAATTCCAAATTAATTCTTGATCAATACTAATTAAATAACCTTATTAATATATTAGAACTTATAATATATTAACAAACCTTAAGTGTTATTTCTCTCATTATAGTCTATCCAAGTGCATGATGCCATGCAACCCAAATGGACCATGCCGGGTCGGGTCAAGTTTACCAATTATAGTTATGGACTTAGACATTAATCCAACAGTCTCCCACTTGGATAAGTCTAAAACTATTATTGCGTATGACTTCAGGAACCAACTGGCAATCGTAGCTCTCAAAAGCTTTGTCGAACTCTGACCTTGTAGATGAACTCTGATCTTGTCAATGACTTGTCCATTAGATAAGGGATCATATATTCCTCCATTCTAGATATCATATGGACTGAGACATGGATTATAATCATTCTCTCTGTCCATTTGTTGTTTCCCGATTTCCGATTTATGACGACTGACTAATTGAACA